GCTCTTGACTGCAATTAGACATATATGATCCGAGGTATTTTGGCCATTCATTAGTGCTAATTGTTTGAGAAACAAGCCCACAGAACAAATGATTAAAATGTTAGTGCCATAACCAGGATTATTAGCATGTGTGATAAAATGCATGCGCCGCAGCTGTACCAATAAAACTCTCCGGCGAGTCGCTTTGATTCGACAAATACTCAGCTCGGCTGCGAGCCCGTCGTATTTGCACAGGGCCTGCTGATGTTTACAACAAACAACTTATATCTTCTTTTCTTAATTAGGAAGAATTACTATGCAAATTGCGGGGCTTTGTAATTTCGTAGAAGTTTCCTTTGTCTTTGGCGGATTATTTGTGTGTGGTTGTGAGCTACTCCCTAGTAAATTCGATGTCAGAAAACCATTATATTCACTCTGGGGAGTTTTTCGCACACGTCGGAGAAATAATTTGTAGGAGGTTTTGCTGCATGAGCAGGGTTGTGTTCAGTGGAGTCTTAGGTCCTGGGTCACTTCTGTCCTTCTGCCACACCACCACAGATGTGCAGGGTTGTGGTCAGCACGCAGTTACGTGCGTACAGGTCAGAAATACACACTGGGGAAATTATCCAGCTTTTTTAATGGTTTTATTCAAATGCCTAAAAATGTTCTTCGGAAACACTTGCCAACACTGCGCCAAAGGCTGTAGAAGGAGGCACTGGGCCTATCGAGCAATGGATGTTTTTCCATGCATTAGGCAGATTGCGGTGTAGCGTCTCTTAAAGCATGGTTCGATCTAGCAAATAAACAGAGAACAGAGGCGCAGGTTGAAGTGCTGATCCTGAAAATCACTTGTGGGAGCACTTTACTTTGTGAGCTGTACGTTGTTGGCTCCGATGAGACTGCACAGGTGTGTGCAGTTAAGTATAAATGTGAGTATGAGCAAGGCCGGAATGTGAAAATGCAGTTTACAGCAGGGAAATGTGTATCATTTGAGGCACTTCCACTGGTTTGCAGTCACACTGTAGGGCTGCCTTTGCAAAGTGCAGTATTTCTTAGTAATCAAAAAGGTTTTGTTGTCTCCTTCCTGAGGATGAACTATTTGCTCTGGGGTGAAACGGTTCTCGGAGGATCACAGGTAACTTTAACTTGCCAGCTACTTTTGCGTATTTGATGAAGGCTTTAGTAGAGTGTTATGTTTGCTGAAGAAGTTTAGTTTCTTTTCCAAGACCCAGGAGCATTCAGCGTACTGCTAGATGCTATGAATGAAAATATGCCGCTGTAAAACAATTTAATGAGCATTACCCAATAGCCTAGTCCTTGTTTTAACTTACAGTGCTTAAAGGAAGAAACGTTGTCTTAGTAAATTCACTTGGCTTATGTCCATGTGTTTAGTGTAAAGCATAGTCAAGCTTAGTTTGAATCATTAAAATACTTGGAGTCAGGAAACATACGTAAGATTTTCTTCCTCTTTATGGCATGGAGTTAACAGCGTAATTGAGATTGCAGTGCTGTGCGGGTTGTTTCATCCTAAAAAAGTAACTGCTGGGGATGTTTTTATTCTATCAAAATAACAGAAGTTGAGATAATCAGGATAGCGTTTCCTACCAGAGCAGCTAACTGCTAATATGCATAGCACCCTGGGCCTTGCCACTGTCGTTTTTAAAAAGGTCTATAGGCAAACGGTTTTCTTAATAAATCTGCTTCTTCCTCTGCATTTCATTTTATTGTAAAACATAAAATATGACTATACAAGGAAAATGCACAGTGAGAACAGAAGATTTTTTTAAGAATATATGTCAAAATAGTAGCATATGAAAGCATTTACTGCAGTCACACCTAAGCATCTTTATTGAAAACACTAATTTTATAAAATATGTTTAGAGCTCTTTGTTTTGAAAGGAGAAAAATGCTGTGTTGGTCCACTGACACCAGTTCCTCCTGCACATGTTTTTTTTCTGGCCAGACCTTGTGAAAAATTGTCCCTTTGACTTCCTAAAATCTTAAGGCTAATAATTTGACAAATTGACAGTGTATTTTTATAATAATCTGTGTCCTGAGAAATCTGTGGTTTGGGCCCATGTAGCTATGAAGTTGGTTAGCTGAAGAGGAGATAGCAGTAGTCACCAGGTGATAGTATGTCAAACATCAAGGCTAATTAGATGATGGTATTTTAATGGATTAAATGTAATGCTTCTTTAGAGTCAGCTGGGGAAGTCATACTGCTACCTCCTCTAAACAAAAGTTTATAGAGTTCAGTGGTGACACCTGACTAAATCTGGTCTGCAGGTAACGGTGGTTTTACGTACGCAATACTACATGGTGTTGTGCGTGGTGTGCAGAGCAGAGCTGCCTTTGCGGGGCTTGGAGCAGTGAGAGGGAAACTGGCTGATCAAACGGCCCCTTGGTTCGATGACAGCCCGGGGAAACCTGCGTGACAGGAGATACATCTCATCTCAGCGTGCTCTGAGATTATGGTGTTAGCTGTGTCTGTCGAGTTTGGGGTAGGTTGGAGGGTTGGTGAGAGGCAGTCCTTAAGGGTGCTTCAGGGGCTGCTTGGCTCTAGGCTGGAGTTAACTATTAATGGGCTGAGCTCTTTGACTCCTTTGTGCCTTTGGGAACTACAGGGTTGAAGCCATCGGAGAAGGAGAATAGAAACTAATCACTTTTGTCTCCCCATATATGTTTAGTGAAGGACTGCAGACTTCACTACTGACCTCTGTGTCACACTGAAAAAAGACTCTCCTCTTTCCATTTGAGATAAACCACTCTTCCACCTACTCCTTGCTCTCCCAAAGTGTACTGCTGCAAGGAAATGGGATTAAGTGGATTTAACTAGCAGCCACTTGAGTTGCCACAAGTTGTGTTACCATCCCCACTTCAACACGAGACCAGGGACATGAAGTGGTTTGTGACAGAGGGGCAAAGAGACTACTTAGGAGAGACTCTGGATCTCAGTTGCATGCCTCCAGGTATTGTCAGGACCTCCATCACCTAAGACTTGTAAGTATTGCAGTTAGAGATGAGGAGTTATTAACAAGGGTAGCACTGGCACTTGTGTTAAAATAATGCGTTGTTTATGTTTAACAGCAAAGCTGCCCTGTTGCTTAGGCTGAACTAAGCATTACCAGGCATGTTACAAAGAAGAGACTGGCAGCGGGTTTTTGTGGGCTCGGAAAGTGTGTCCACCCAGGACATGCAGAGACCCAGCAGAGGAGATCATGGAATAGTTGTCCTTTTCAACTTAGTTTACTGGGATAAAATGTAATAAAAGCTCTCTTCCTATTGTCAATGTAAGACCTGTATCCAGCTTTTAGGGTGCTCACTCTAGGGGAAAAGGGAGTTCTTCAACAGGGTTAGCTTAGAAGGGCAAGTATCGTGGTGGTCTGTCAGCAACACATCACGTTGGCTCTGATTTAGATTGACTGAACTCATTTCCAAGTGTTTGAAGGGGTTAGTCATGTTCGCTTTGAAGAAAACCCGCGTGCCTGTGTAGCCATGTGTCATCCAAGTGTAGCAACTTGGGAAGCATTATTAAGAGGGGCATAGGAAAATGCATGGGTCTCTGACATGATGCGATAATGACATGTTCAGCGTGGTGCTAGAAAAGCTTTGCATTATTCAAAGTGCTGAATAATATACATGATAATGCATAATGGTGTTATATGGTAGGATTATTTTGGCGCATAAGTGACTTGTGCTCTGAGTGTGAAGGCAAATTGCAATATTTTGTCCTCATTTTTGATGTAGCAGAATAGTCCTGGGGGGTACAGCATGAAATGGGGAGGAACAGGAGCAGGCAAAGGGGTTTTTTTTGGAAAGCCATGAAACGCAGCAGCACCCTCTGCAATTTATTTCTCTGTGGCTGTAATTATGGAGCAAATCAAGCTCCCTACCGCACTTGAGGGCAGCCTCCCCCGGCAGCTCCTCTGTCTCCAAGCACACTGACCCGGCTTACGCCTGGGGTGGGTTAGCTGGTCCCTCACCAGGAATACCAGTACGGGGTGGAGACCACCACAAACCTGGCACCTATGGACCGTACAGATGCTACCCACTCAAGCCATGTGGCACCACAGGCTCACACCTGCGTGGTGCACAAAGCATTTATAAATTTTAAAAGGCACTGCAGCCAACAACGTGCTGATGATGCTGGTGGGTTTATGACTTCTGCTGGTGGAAGTCTGTGCTGCGGATCTGAGGGTCTGAAGGCTTCTGAGAGACATATTGGGATTAGTGAAGTTCCACATTACATGGGGTCTTCGTTCCTGTTTTCCTCATTTCCCCTTCCATCCATTTTGCTTATTTAAAATTTGCATGCAAATACATTTGTTGATATAACGCTACGGTTGTAAAATCAACGTCACAAAACCATGTTTGTTTTAACCAACACCCCTGCTTTATTCACAGCATGCTACCCAGCTCCTGGAGCAGCCGTGGCCTATAGCAGCCTCCTCCCTAAAGCAGTCCTGATCCATTCCGAGCACAGCCTCCAGCCTGTGGAGGAGTCCTACCAGCCACCACCCTTCTGTATTTAATACTTAGCACAGCACACAGAACGGGCAGTGTAATTAAAGCTGCGCGGATAACCTCAGCCCTGGCAGTTCTTCAGTTCTGGGTGTTGAAGTTTGCAGCTTCTGTTGAACATAGCCGTTTTGGAGTTTTATACTGTAATTCACTGTAATGCTGATATCTCCCTACCCTGGCTCTTCCCAATGAAAAAACCCCAAACTAGCCACTATCTAGGTAGGAATGTTTCCCTTTTAATAATAGTCAAGTATTCTTTATAGCATTGTAGCAAAGAGTCTGATTTCAACAATGTCCTTTACAGGGTGGATTCTCTTCTGCCAGCTGGTGTTCCTAAGCTTAGTTACCGCTTTGCGTCATCTCACAAGTACGTTCCCAGGCGAGCTGTGCTGTATGTACCTGCGGATGATGAAAAGAAGATACGAAAAATCCCATCACTAAATGTAGATTGTGCGGTGCTGGACTGTGAAGATGGAGTGGCTCTGAACAGAAAGGTAATTAAAAATTAGCTGTGTGATACAATCAGTGCTAAAAAGAATGTGTGGGAAAATGTTGTCTTTGCCTTGGGGAAGTGACAACCAGAAAGACGAAGATAAATCTGAAGATATACAAAGTAATGTAACAGTGATGGGCTTTGTGAAGGCGTTGGGAAAATCTGCTTACCCAGAACTGAAAGAGATCCCGTGTGAGTAAGTGGGGAGGGAGTTTTGAAGGAATACAGAGCTAGGCATAAGCTCTCATCACAGAAGAGTGGGAGATACTGTTATTATTGCTGCATATTTCTTAGGAAAGAGGAGGAAATGGTCTGTGAGAAGAGAAGCATGAAAGGAAGAGTTAGTTCAGAATCACAAAGTGGGGGTTTTGTTGTTGAAACAAGAGCATCTTCAGATTGTGAGCAAAACAGTGTGGGTTTGGGTTCAAGCCTTGGGGTGTTTAGAAAGATTTACTTACTGAGGCTTTTGCAAGAAGTGCTGTTAGGGGTGTTTCCGAAGGAAGGAGAAGTTACAACCTGAGTGCACCAGGGTTTGGAGAGCAGTTTAGACTGAAGGAGCTGCACGAAAGCAGGTATGGAGAGCAGTGTGGGAAAGAGATGCAGATGTGACAAGTACCAGTGCCAAGGTTTTGCTGACACTGAATTGTGAAAGAAGAGAGAATGGTCTAACATACATTCAGTTTTGCTTGCAAGCACATTTTTTAAATACGTGAAAATAACCATTTTTTAAAGTTTCACATTTTAATTAATGTATATGAGAAACTATTGTAAATGTTTCCCAGTGAAAGGTGTTTCTGAACAGGAACTCAAGTTTACCATCATTTTTGCATCATTTTTATATTTGTCAGTTTTCCTGTCCTTTTTACAGTGCTTCAGACTACAGCAAACACTGTTTAGCATTTGAGTATGAAGGTGTTGTCCAGGAAGTTATGAAAACAGGCTTGAAAATTTTCCCATGTCATCTCAAAAATATGGATTAAATTTTAGTCTTTGCTGTTACCTGGGAGTTAATGCCTTCCAGAAGGACTCTCTTGGGTAGTGCTTTCTTTAACTTTCGGGTCTTTACAGGTATGTTGGAAAGAAAAAAGTTTACAGGATTTGCATATATCTGTTTTAGTTCAGAAAAGTGAAAATAGCATTGCTGAATCCTCATGTGTACTGCTGAAGACAGCTGGAAAACATTTTACAGTTGCTAAAATTCTGTGTGGAAGACTAAGATTTTATCTGCTGGCACCATGACTTAGTATCGTTTAGGTCATATTTGGGAAGCCACTCCTGTAAGATGTCAGAAGACATAATTGTGTATTAAACTGTAGTATTTGTAGGTGCAACTTAATTATATAAAACAAATAATTTATAGCAGGAGCATCTGTTTGTAATAGAGGATGACAGCAAAACAAAATTTTATGATCAAAGTGACGAAGTTGCTAGTAGTAATTTCTAAAGGGTGGTAAAATTCTAACTCTGTGGAAATGAAGGGGAATTATGCCACTGGGTATAAGATTTCAAAGAAATTAGGACGAAAATCTGTAATAGGAACTTAAGATGTCAGATGAGCCCCTGACTGAGCTTAAATGCAAAAAGAAAGCAGACAGGAGATAGAAGTGGGGACAGGCGACCAAGGAGCAACACAGAAGTGTTGTCTAGGCACATAGGGACAGAATGAGGAAGGCCAAAGCTTGGCTGGAATCAAAACTGGTGAAGGATGAGCAGGACAAGAATGGCTACTACAAGTGCATCAACAGAAAAAAATGAGAAGGAAGAGCAGGGCAAGTGTGGATCCACTGCCCCATGAAGCCTCAGGCTTTACTGTCAAAGTTTGCTCTCCAGCCTACTAGGTTGTCTCCTAGAAGCAAAACTTGGGGGAGGGAGGCAGTAGCCACAGTAGGGAAGGATGGAGCTAGGGTCTATTTAAATAAGCTGGTCCATGAGGCCAGAGAGGACACGCTGGAGGCTGCTGAGGAAGCTGCCCAATGTCATCCTGAAGCTGCTGGCTGTCATCACTGAAAAATCACTGTGGCTGGAGGAGGTTCCTGATGCCTGGAGAAAGGTAAATGTTACAACTGTTGTCAGAAAGGGTAAGAGAGAGGAACTGCGGGACCATCAACACCATGCTAGTCTCCAGGAAAATGATGGTTCTCATGGAAGGCATTTCAATGGCCCAAAGACCTAGCCAGAATGAACTCATCAAGAGCAAATCACACCTGACATACCTGATCGCCTTCTCTGAACAAATCGCTGTCTTTGACTATGAGAGCTGAATAGATGTTATCTACTGTGACTTTAGCAAGGCTTTTGGCATGGTGTCTCATAATATTGTGGTCATCAGCCTGAGAAAAAATGGACTGGATGGACAGACTGTATGGTGGGTGGCAGTTTGGCAGGAATCAGTGGTCCATGCTGTGTGCTATTTTGCACTTACCTCCGCTGGGGCTAATACTGCTTAACTTCCTCACTAGCAACCTTGTTGACGGGATGGAGTGCACTCTCACCAGGTTCATGATGAAACCAAACTGAGGCACAGCTGGTATGCTGGAGGGCCCAGCTGCTCTTCTAATGGTGCTTTACAGTTGGAAGAACAACTCAACAGAAAGGTAACGAAGTCCAACAAAAATAAATGCAAACTCCTGGCACTGGGCTAGGATAACCAGCCGGCTGGAGTAACAGGCAGTGGAGCGACTGCCCAGGGGCAGCTCTGCCAAAAAGATATTTACGAGGAGAGGCTGAGGGAGCTGGGCTTGTTTAACCTGAAGAAGAGAAGGCTGAGAGGGGATCTTATAAATGCCTATAAATATCTTAAGGTTGGGTGTCAAGAGGATGGGGCCAGACTCATTTCAGTGGTGCCCAGCGACAGGACAAGGGGCAACGGGCACAAACTGAAGCATAGGAAGTTCCGTCTGAACATGAGGAAGAACTTCTTCCCTCTGAGGGTGACGGAGCACTGGAACAGGTTGCCCAGGGAGGTTGTAGAGTCTCCTTCTCTGGAGATATTCAAGACCTGCCTGGACAAGGTCCTGTGCAGCCTGCTGTAGGTGACCCTGCTTCAGCAGGGGGGTTGGACTAGATGACCCACAGAGGTCCCTTCCAACCCCTACCATTCTGTGATTCTGTGAAAAAGGCCCTGGGTGCTGTTTTACAGCAAGCTGAACGGGGTGAGCAGTGCGCCCATGCAGCAAGGGTGGCCAACCACCTCCAGGGCTGTGCCGGCATGGGTGCAGCCAGCAGGACCAGGGAAGGGGGTCCCTCCCCTCCACTTGGCTTTTGAGGGTCTCTCTGAGGGGGCTGTGTCCAGCCCCAGGGCTGTGGGCCCCTGGACAAGAGAGAGACTGACCCACGGGAGGAAGCCCAGGAAGGGCCACCAAGGTGGTCGTGGCACAGGAGGAGAGGCCGAGGAGCTGGGTTTGTTCGTCCTGGAGAAGAGATGGCTGAGGGGGCCTCAGTGAAGGCTTTGCTGCCTGCGGAGAGCTGGAAGGATGGCAGAGCCAGGCTATTCTCAGAGGAATTCAGCAACAGAGCAAGAGCAATGGCCACAAGTTGCATGAGGGGAAATGGTGTCTGGAAACAAGGGAGAAAAGTCTTCCCCATGCAGGTGGTGGAGCACTGGATGAGGTTGCCCAGAACAGTGGTGCATCCTCCCTCCATGATGGTAATCAGGCCTTGACTGGGTGAGGCCCTGATCAACCTGATGAAAAGCAGTAGTTAGCCCTGCTTTCAGGAGGCGGACGGATGAGGTGGTCTGCTGAGGTCCCTTCCAACCTGGATTAGACTGTGTGATTGCATGATCTAATAGCAAAGCATAATTCAAAGTGATTGTAAGAATGAATTCCATTTTTAGATGTGCCACAGATACTCAGGAAGACTTTGAGAGTTAGATTCTGTGAATGTGAAGCTGAAATTATTATTGCTCTTGCAGCTTAATTTATTAATGCTTCTGAGGTGTTTGGAGACTTTGTGTGAAAGATATGTCAAGAACATGCACTGAAATACAGTACTCGATGGCCTGTTGCAAATGGGTCACCTGAAACAACAAAAAACACTGGGAAACACAGCAACACTGATCCTGTCCTTTAATCATTATTCTTAAAACAACTAGTACTAAGGAATTTGACTGTTTATTGCCACGTTTTACATCAATAAACCCCCTACTTACGGATTTTCTTGAAACTGCTGCCAAAATGTTGGGTTTTGGGAAAATCAGGACCTGGTTGAAGGTTCACAGTGCCTTGGGCCAAACTTACCTGTCTACAGAAGGCCTTCCCTTGACACGAGTCCGAGCAGCAAGTTTGAAGCACATCTTAACAAGTCTATCTTAACAAGATGCTGTGTGTTTTGTATTAGGATTAAGTTAGATTGGGAGACATCAAGAAACTGAATGTTGGCAGCTCCATTTAATTGCTCATTTAGAGGGAAACGTGAAAGATGAGCTTCCTATAACCAAACATGATAACATTTGCGAAACTGAATCTGGTTGCAGTAGCTGCTTTCGAAGCAGCAGTTATAAATTAAAATTTTGGAAGATTTCTTCTTGTGCACCCTCCCCACACAATTATGTTTTGTAATGCCTCACAGAAGCACCAGAAAAGGGGAGCCCGTACCGTAATCTGCATAGCATATTGGTGCCTGCATTTCCTACCTTCAAGAGCTACAACACTGACCATGATTTCAGGTGTCACTTGCTGACTTCTCCTTCTTTTCAGTCTTTTTTTCTAGTTGACATTTTGACTGAATCAGAAAAAGAACGTTACAGCAAGAAGTTCACAAGGAGAAAATGTCTCAGCTTTTAAGGGGAACCAGTGGGAAGAAATGGCTAAAAGCAAAGTGATAGTATGCTGAATACTAAGCCCTCGAGTAGGGTGGGAGCTGGTGCTGGTGTGAGTAGGACACGTGGGGCTTTTGTCGCCTCATGGGGACTGGACGGAGCTGCAGGAGGTCTTCAAAAATTCAGAATAGGGAAGGTGATAGAAAGATATCCCAGTGTTGCTGAAAATTTCAGCCTTCTTT